TTCGACTGAGACAGAGAAGGAAACTCCATTGCAGAACTACAAAATTGTTGGCGTCAAGAAATTGTCCGAGGAGAAAGCAGTAGTTTGCCACAAGCAGAAGTATCCATATGCTGTTTTTTACTGCCACAAGACAGAAACCACCGTGTCTTACAAGGTGGCGATGGTGGGGGACGACGGCACCAAGGTGAAAGCAGCGGCGGTTTGTCACAAGGATACGGCGGCGTGGAACCCAAAACACTTGGCTTTTCAGGTGCTGAAGGTGAAACCAGGGACTGTTCCAGTCTGCCATTTCCTTCCTCAGGATCATATTGTGTGGGTTCCTAAATATTAGTGGGGATTGTTACTCAATATTCACACATACATATATATATGAATATATGCAACTACCTATATAATTATCTTATCTATATCCGACAGGTTTAATTTTAGCTGTTTATTTTGTGTGATTTCATTTATGTAACAGCATGAACCCCTACCCTCTTTCAGACATACTGCTGTATCATTGCCTGGAAATACTTCTATGTATGAATCTCTATGCAGCTACTGCTTTCGTGCTTCTTTTTTTTTCCAGCCAGTGGCTCATATTTTGTTTACTTCAAACTTAAAAGTAAGTGAAACGCACTTTTATTCGCTTACTTTCAAGTTATTAAAATATGATTTTCAAAGTTACGTTCTATTAACAAAACCTGCCTTAGTAAAAAGTAATTAACTTTTAAACAGAACCAAAACATTTGAATCAATACCAGAAATAATAGAAAAACATTAATATGGCAGTTCCTCCTATAGGTTTAGCATCAATCATCAAATACCAAGTCAACATATTTGGGTTGATAGTTTTTTTTCCCTTGTTACTTGCAAGTTGTCAAGTTTCTCACGTTGAAACTTTAGTGTCTGTTTGATGAAGATTATTTTAAAATAGATTTTGGAAAAAATAATTTTTTTTTAGAAAATGTATGTTTAAAAAATAGGAAAATTTTTAGATTTATATACAATATTATTTTATTTAAAGAATGTATGACTGAAAATGAGTTATAAAAAATTTAATCTATACCAAAAATCAATTCTTTCTCGGAGATGTTGGATAACACATCATAGGTTAGCAACATCTTTTGTGAAATTAATCAAAAATGACACTGGATTAATTTGATAAGGATCACTGACAATTTATTGGATTTAAGAATTTCCCATGTTTGCCCAAACGTTGTCTCATTACTTCAAAACTGCATGTCTTATTGCCGCCTCAAAGTTTTTTCAATCATGGTTGGTGTACATTATTGTTTTCACTTTGCAACATGACATTATTCTATTGAGCAGTTAATTTTTTTTTTTTTTTCATCCAATTATTGGTTGACAACAATGCAAATGTTAACGAGGGTGTAAAAAATAGCATACAAATTGCATAATACAATTAAAAAAAAAAAAAAAACTGTTTATTAACACTCTTTTGTAACACATCATGTTATCTTGTCAATGTTGACAGCAGGGGTGAACCCATTAAAGGTCTAGTAGGGGCAATTCGGGGTGAACCCATTAAAGGTCTAGTGGGTGCAATTGCCCTTAATTTTTTATATTAAAAAAAAAAACTAACATAATTTTAGTTTATAATTTTAACCCAAACCTAACAAAGTAAGTCTTTGACATTGACCAAAAAAAAAAGGCTCACATAATTTCAATTTCCCACTTAATCGTACTTCCCTTTCCATAATTGCCCCTACGATGCCAATCACGATATTTTTAAAGAAGAAAAAAAAATATTGAAAAAATAAAATTTTGTAATCCTTCTCTTTTTCGTAATCTTATTATTTATATTTTGATAGTTATTTATGCTTATATAATTTCATCACATCCCAAAATCAAATTGTAAAATTCGTTTATAAAAATCTGCTTTTATAATTTCAATTATTATTAGTTTCGTTTACCTTAAAATATTTGCTATTTACAATCTCAATTCTTGATGTTCATCTTTTAACTTTCTATTTCACTCTTGGTATATTTAATAGTCTCTGTTTAATTTCAAACAGAATATTTACTATATAGAAGCATATATCAGCAGCACCTTGATTATTCATAGGTTTGAAAATTTAGATAATTCTTTTTTTACTGGTTTTATGCATGAATAAAAATCATCTTATCAAATCTCTTTATCCTAAAGATTTTTCAAAAGCATAGCTCATGGCACTTGATAATGAGTTTCGAAACTATATTGTTGATATGCGTTCTAGCAAGGAGTTTGGAAAATTGCTGAGACTTAGGGTCCATTTGATTGCAAAGTTGGAAAATTGGTGGAAAGAAAATGAATTACAGAGAATTGAATTACCTAGAAATTATTTTACTGGAAATTGTAATTAATTGTATTTAATAGGTATAATTTTCCACTGGAAAAATGTTGAAAATTTGGTGTCCGTTTGACTTTAATTTTTACGAAAATTGTCCATTAAAATGATAATTTTTCTATCATTGGGTCTAAAATTTGTTCCAATTGCCAAATTTTTTTTTTAACAAAATTCGAATTTTTTTTTCCTATACCGAATATCATTTATTTAGCTTTTTTTTTCATGAAAATTATCAATAAAAGTGATAACATTTTTTACCATTGTATCTAGAATTTTTTTCTAATTGTCAAAAAAACAAAAACAAAAAAAAACTTGGAAAACCATTTTCCTACCACTTTGGTGGGAAAATGATTNCAAGGAAAAGTAAGAAAATGTGAGTTTATGAGGAAAAGTGGGAAAAGTATTTGTCTAGAAAAAAATCTATTAAACAAACGAAAAGTGGGAAAATGGAAAAGAAATATCATTTTTCATGGAATTGGCTCCCTATCAAACACACCCTTAGTAAACTTGCACCCAAATTAATTGTGACCAAAAGAAATAAAGTGTATATGTTAGTTTGCATGCTTAAGACTTTAGAATTAACTCTTACGGTTGTTACTGCTACAGTTGAAAGAGTAATTTCTGTTATGAATATTGTGAAAAGTCGATTGCGTAGTCAGATTAGGACCAATGGATGAATGATAGTTTAGTTGTGTATGTTGAAAAAGATGTATTTAATGAAATTGATAACGAGATTATTATGTCCATATTTGACACCCATTTCTTTTTCATTATATTTATCATTCTTCATTTTAACCATACATTTTATTAATAAAATAATATTACACATAAACCCAAAAATTATCCTTACTTTTTGACCACACAATCTTCCATCAATCACTATTCCAAAAATTATTTTTCAAACAAAATGGGTGTCAAACATGGGCTATATATCGTTTTCATAGTATGAGAAGCCGTAACAAATAATTATAAAAATGTACTACGTTTTGAATATTATCGTTGTCTAATTTGAAATTATTTTTTACATAGTTATGTCTCTCCTCCTTCGGAAACATAATTCTGGATCCGCCCCTGATTGCAAGTTACACTCTATGACTGCAAGTAACACAATATGTTATCGCGTCTGAAGTTCAAGTGACTATGCATTTATTCAAGAAAATCATATTACCATCTCATGAATTCGATCAACAATTTATGCATGTTAGTAACCGCTCGTGTAATTTTCCCATACACGTGAGTAACATGCCAAGTAATCTTTCCTTGAAACAAGACGTTAACAATAAAATGCATATCCAAGTATTAATCAAGATAACACATTTTGTTACCCTCTCTGTTATGGAGTAACACGTTATGCATGCGAGTGGCACACTATTACTCTCATTTACGCAATTGTAGAACGAATTAAGCTACATGTACACTTTCTTGACAAAAAAGATGACTGATGAAATATTTCTTGCTTATGTGGAGTTAGTGGGAATTAAGAAAAAAAAAGAGCTGCAATGTTCTTGAAAATTTCATGTCATTCTTTGTCAACCAAGATATACCAATAGCAAAATCCTTGTTGAACTATGTGAATAGAAAAAAAGCTTATTATATATCACAATTTTCCTAATATTTTACAGATGGATAAGGTGTCAAAAAGTGAGATTTTTTATTTTTTTATTTGGTTGATAAAATTTTGATCTAATCTAACTTTGTCATATCATCTATTGATAAACAAATCTTGAATTATCACTTTAGGAGCATAAATGTCGTTTCAATGTTGTACAAAATTATTATTAATATACAAAATGTGGATCACAAAATCCTTATAGGTTTGAAAATTTAGATAATTCTTTTTTTTTTTTACTAGTTCTATGCATGAATAAAAATCCTCTTATCAAATCTCTTTATCCTAAAGATTTTTCGAAAGTATAGCTAATGGCACTTGATGATGAGTTTTAAAACTATATTGTTGACATGTGCTCTAGCAAAGCGTTTGGAAAATTGCAGAGACTTAGCCTCTGTTTGAGCCCCATTTTTTCTCATTCCATTACATTAACTTTTTTTCTCTCTTCATCTCAATCACACATT